AACATCGATATAGGATCTTGGACTGATCTGCCCATCTGAGTTCTCCTACTTCATACTAGTGTCAACACTTTTCAACATGATGCCTAAGATTCAGAAAGTCGCCGTCGCAGGAGTAAGCTCGTGTTCAAGCTTCGTCTAGGCAAATGGTCCGTAACTAACAATGCAAGGCAACTGGTAATGTGGGAAGACCAACTCTGAAAGCACTGCTTGCAGATGGTTTTGATGTGACTGTCTTGGTCCGCAAACAGGGCATTTTCCCTGACGGTGTACATGTCAAGGTCGTCGACTTCACTTCTTTTGATGCTATTAGAGATGCTTTACAGGGCCACCAGGCTTTTGTGGACTGCACTCTTGTTCACGACGATACTCCAACGAGATTGATAGATGCTGCCGCTGCAGCTCGAGTGTATCGTTTCATTCCATCAGACTTCAGCCTGGATTTCAACAACCGCAACGTCCACTCGGTGCCCGTCTTCTTCAAGAAAGATATGAATGACATGCACTTACTGAAGAAATGTGAAGAGACCGGAATGACTTGGAGTGTTATCTGCAATGGAGCGTTCCTAGATTGGAACCTTCGGACCGGCTTCTTGAACATCGACATCTACAACAAGAAAGTTGACTATATCAACGAAGGGGAGAATGTTCACGTCTGGACTACGCTCGAATCAACTGGCAAAGCCGTTTCAAGGGCCTTGCTCCACCCAGTGGAGACTGAAAACAGGCCTGTTCACGTGCATTCTGTCAACAAAAGCCAAAAGCAGATGGTGGACCTGTGCAAGGAAGCGTTGGGGACTGACGGTTGGACTGAGTCAAAGTCAAATATGGACCAAGTCTTTGCTGGAGCCTTGAAAGAGTTCCAGGCGGGTAACTACAGCATGAAGGTTTTTGGCGACATGATACGCTATGCGAACTCTAGGCCGGACTTCTCTGGCCCTTGGCCCAAAGACGATAACCCTATGCTTGGAGTCAAAGAGATGTCGGACGATGAGGTGAAGACTCTAATTAAGTCTATTGCTACAGAAAAGACAGGCTAGTGAGGTATATGCTCTGCGGGTTATCAATAGTCGATATAGTATGCCTCCATTCGAATAAATCTCAGGCCACTTCATTTGAGTATGAGAGCTTTCATGAATCAAGAAGGAGGATTGGCAATCCGTCAAAGGGCTGTTTCTATTCCTACTGATTACGATGAAGTTCCGACTTTGACACTTAACATGGCGCCACTTGCAGAGTCTTATTCGCCTGGAAAGTTTGAAATTCCACAAAAGAAAACTGATGCCAGATATCTAAAAACGAGGTTTGAATATGAAACCTCTCCCTCTAGAATTAGTTACTGTATGATGTAGGTTATGTGCAGGAGCGCATGTCTTCAATGGTGCTGTTGAGAAAATTGGACATGGAACAATAGAGAAGCGAACAAGGTATCACTTTACCCGTCGTGATAAACTCTTGGTTCTGAATAGCAATCCTCGAAGACCTGAGTGTTTACTTACGAGCTATCGCAAAGGATCTTTGAGTCTGTCCTAAAAACCCTGACTTGTCTCTAAACTTGGAAAACTTGAACGGAGACACCTCGAATGTGTCAAGCAAAGAAAGCAAACCTCTGAAGTTTATGTCTCGCTCAAGAAAGATGTAGTGTCACTAGCAAAGTATCGCAATCTTCATAGGCGGGATCTCAAAGTTTGATATCGTACTAGAGACATGAAGTCAACCCTTTCCATTCAAGCAGTAAATTTCGCGAGTGCAGTCGTAGCGCATGGCTAGTCTCAATTTCCCCAACTCGGAAGCGCAACTCTCATGCAGTCTCTCTCCTGCCATGATCTATTTTAGTCACTAAGCTAGGCTCACGTGTATTACCACTCTCGTGACTCAATTATGCTCCCTCATCAACAATTACTGATTCATGGAGCCTCAATGTAGAAGGATGATGAAACTTTCTGCCCATATTAGAAGGATCGATGAGCAGAAGTCTTGCCCGAAAGTGAATTCGGGCTTTCGACGATAAACGTGAAGATAGATAACTCTATCAGGCTGCGTGCTTTATGTAAAGTTAAGACATGAGTCTAGCACAGGCTAAGCCAAATTCATAATTCGAGTGAAAGCATCAGCGTATGTATTGAGGAGAGCACTTCGGTCTTCCTTTTACGTGATATAAATCCCAGTGCGCTATCAAGCCCAGCTCGAAATGTTTTTAACACTCAATCAAGCATTCGAAAGAGAGTTGACACACAGGTAGATCTTTCTCTATGGAGCATCCATGTAGAAGACAGGATTAGTATCTTGCTTCAAAGTCGAGTTGCTCAAATCGACTTATGTATCCTCGATAGTCCCAGACTTTCCTTAACGGTAAAGCCATATGTGGTTACTCGGCGAACTAGAATTCGATTACAATCCTGCACTTTTCGATCAACACATGTTGGAAACTTTGGGAAGTCTTTCTGTCTCAAGCTAAGCAAAATTTTGCAATGATCTGCAGACAAAGACGTCAGACTCGACCAGAGTAGTCCTCATTTTATTATCCGTGGGCAGAACCCATCCTGCGCTTCAAACGGCCAGATCTCCATAGTGTTTCCGGTCCCCCAGGAAACTTGTTTGCCATCTGAACTCCACAAAGAACAGCTTCGAACCACATCCAGTCTTCTTCCGTGTGAATTCTCCAGAACCAATCACTTGTCCACGCTTCCCCGGCGACTCTGAGGCAACGGAGCAACTCATCAAGCTTGCCATGTCTTTGGGAACCAATAGTTGGAGGCGAGCTGCTTCGACCTTCCTGAAAACCATATTGAGTTTATGCAACCTCGCGGTGTAATCCAAATTCACAGCGACCAGGTAGTGTACGGAGGTTACACACAACTTACCGTCGCCGCCTGCTTCGCCTCCTCTAGAGAGCCGGAGCATCAAACGAGTCAGTAACAAGACCCTGACTGGCTCTGCGATCTTTTTGGTTTCACTGTCGACGCGGATCGGTAGCACCCACACAGCAAATAAGCTTTCTTCGTGGGGTGGTTCCCAAACCTTATTGTGGCAGCACCTGGGGTCATGAACCTGCATATGAGAGTGCAGTCTGTAGCTGGCAGATGAATGGCGCTCGTCTTAAGTACTAGTGAGCATCCTTTTTACCCTACGTAGTAAGGCTGCGTGCGCCGTCGCATCTTCCATCTCGTCTTGATGACGCCGCCGCCACCGCTCGGTTGTGTTCCTCTTGCATAATGCCTTCCCCAAGGTACGAACTACTACTGGCGCCGTCGATTTACCGAGTTGGACTTCTCGACTGAGAGATGGCTGGAGAGACGGGCACCATCTCGGTCTCGCAGGTCCAGGCGATGGTAATGATTGCATTCGCTGCGACCGCATACTACAATACGATCGAAACCTTTTTCTCCATATTCACAACGTTCAAGCGCCGACGAGGAAGATACTTCTGGAGTATGATCGTGTCTAATACTGGCATCAACATCAATGTGATCGCCTTTATTCTGCGGTACTTTGGCTATTACCAGAAAGCGATTTTCGCATCGAGTATCATTATCCCGATCGCTTGGTACTCGATGGTCACAGGCCAGGCCATTGTTCTTTGGTCGCGGCTGCATCTGGTTGTTCACAGCCAGCGGAAGATCCGCTGGATCTTAACGATGATCATCTTCAACGCCGTCACGATGCATATCCCGGAGACGGTGATCTTCTTCCTCGCCAACACTAGCCCCAAGCAATACGTAATGCCCTTTAAGATATACGAAAAGGTCGAACTCGTCGTTTTCACGATCCAGGAGACCATCATCGCATCGCTCTTCCTATACGAAGGCTACAAAAGCCTCAAGCCGTTGAGTGCAATCAAACCAAGGGCTGTTGCAAACATGGTGCGACACTTGGCTTCACTGTTTGCTGTTGTCTTTATACTAGACACAGGCCTGATCATCCTGGAATACAGCGACAAATTCGAGATTCAGACAATGTGCAAGCCATTTGTCTACAGCGTCAAGCTCAAAGTTGAATTCGTCGTGCTCAACAAACTATTGGCGTTCACTCGAATGAGCGCCTGCGACTGTCGAGGCCCCGAGAGCATACCTTCTGCCACGTTGGCTGATAGCAACAACCGGACGAATGGTGAAAACAATGGAATGACGCTGGCACTTCCGGCCATTGAGCAGACAAATGGTTCACTTTCTCCGTTGTGGCAGACAGCGAGGAAGGACTACATCTTTGATGGACGGACGTCTCCGATGAGTACAAGAAGCAGAAGAGGGTTGAGGGAGGGAGATTTAGATATCAGCCCAGAGGAAGACAAAGCGACGGTGTCGATACGTGAGAAGCCATTGGTGACGGACAATAGGTAACTATCGCAGACGAGGGGCAGAAATTTAAAGCTTACAAATCCACCTAGAGCCTTGTTTCTTCCCCTCTTTGGTCAAAGTGGTGCCCATCTCAACATCATGTTCAGTGATTATTATGCTATAGCCATCTTGCAGAGTGAGTGCTTCGATAGTGAACCCAACTTTCTGAACATCGTGGCGTCATAGTGGAAAGCCCATGCCAATGAATAAAGTTGGGATACATAGAATGGGAGGTCTGGCACCCACAGAAAGTCGGAAACGATCGATTCGTCTAAATCAGTGTCTCGAACGTCGTCGAGATGACAAGAAGGCAGTTCCTAAGTGCGCACAGCTGTCCTTGACAATCCAGTAAGAGGCACGTTTTGTCAAGGCTTCGGACAGCCGAATGACGAAGAAGAAATATTCAGATTACTCAATTATTCTAATCAGGACCGGAATTATCCAGGACTGAAGGACTTTCGGTCCAATATTCGCTGGCATCCACTGTGTAGAAAGAGACATTGTCACTTGCCGGACACCTGAACCAGGAAGGGATGACTTCATATTCCCGAAACAGCGGTTCATTGCACTCGACTGCATGGATGGAAGAACTCGAAAACGGATAGTGACGAAGCTAAAACGCGAGACTCCCCACTATTGAGCTCGAGTCACGTCAAGGTTTACCAGCTAGTTACGAGTGACAAGATCAGTGAAGTACTTGGGTCCGATGCCGAGAGCGGCTTCGTCGAGAGGAAGCAACTTTGCGATCCTTAGCCATTCTATAGAACTTTGAATATTGAAAAATCCAGAATCCAGTCTGTTCGCCTTCCAATAAGCTAAAAGTGTAGGCTTATTGAGAAGAGCGGGATTCTACATAACAGTTATGGTTCCGTCCAGCCAGCTATTGAAGAAGCACCAAAGTTATTCCACCATTGAAGCGCATCTCCATGCACCGTAAAGCTTTGAGGGAAATCGAACATCTCTAAGTCGTCTAATATTGAGGTCGCCATGAAACTTGTGTCCTGGCGAGAACCTGACACTTCATCAAGAACATCCCTCACTTGGGGAATGATGGTCGTCCCTAGCCCTTGATGGACAAAGCCCTCTTGATCTGCTCCCGATGGGCTGTGTACCCGAGAGGATGAATAAAGAGACGCATCGAGCAGGATGTCTAGGAAGCGTGCATACCGCACCGACATGTGAATGTCATCCGCGGCTCCTTCGCGCATTGACTTGATGGATTCACGCAAAAGCTGTACATTCTGATGTGCTTCGCTCACGTGTGGATTTATAATTAAGGTGCTCTAGAAGAATTTCAACAGTATCAGTTCTCAGAAGGCGAATTCAAGCTTTCGTGGTTATGACGAGAAGAGGGAAACTAACCCTCAGAAGATGAAGATTGGCGGAGACGATGAACAACCAGCACCGTACAGGGAGATACCGCGTAATGTGTGAGGTTCTGGAAACCCTCGTGAAAATAGAGAGTATGTCACGGCTGGCATCTGCTGCTTTTTTATCCAGTACCGACAGAGCCTGTCTCTTGTCATCAGCCAATGCCATGGAGACATTGTTGTACAGAACGTGGCCAGCCGGGGCGCAGCTATACATGACCATGTAGTGATACTCAAGATCGAGGCATGTGGTTAGCAACTCGGATTGGTCTGCCCTTAGATTCTCGTGGCTCCTTCTCCAACGCGATAACGCTCTGTCTACATGCTGTACTTCAGGTAGGATGTCGGCACTAGGTGGTGTTGATACTCCCGGTTTCCGAAGGGACTGAAGGAGTGTACGCAATCTTCTTGTCTCGTTAAAAAGTTCGTAGTAACTCTCCCAGAGAGCGCTGTCGGGAAGCAGGCTAGCGAAGGTCGTTGAGAATCGGTAACGTACTGCCTCGCGCTGGCTTTCGGGCAAAAGCGGGCGCAACCCCAAACGCAAGCTCAAGTGTTCATCGGTTAAATATATGAAAACACAATTTAGCTGGTTCCATTGCTGCCGCAAAGTATCTTTAGCAGACTGCGTTGTCGATTTGAGCGGTTCTTTGTTTGTGCTTTGTTGATCGTAATCAAAACAACAGCCTTCTTGAGCCAGAGCTATGGCATTCGAGAGAAGCATCCTGCAACATGTCAAAGGTCCGTGGCCAACTATGAGAAGAGAAAGGTTTGAAACTCAAACTTGGTATAATGTAGCACTTACCATGACATCTTATTGCTTCTATAAGCAGGAGCGACAATATTGAGGTCTTCGAGGAGCGTTGCCATGCCGTATCTTTGCTGGCTCGTCAACGAAGTATGCTGTCCCGATTGTGTACCCAGCGGTTCTCTTTGCAACAAGTTTTGAGATCCCGTGACATTACTTTCAGGTTCCTCGTCATTGCTGAATGCGACTGTATTGTTGATTGCCTTGGGATGCCATTCAATTAGTAGTAACATGGATGCAACGGCACCAGGGGTACGTGTGTATGATGAGCCCCAGAGAGCTGACTGCAAATACTGCTGACAAATCTTCCATGTCTGCCAGTGTATTCTTTCTGAACGAATCTCACCGTGGAGCCCGGAGAGTACGTGGTAGCGGGATGAGATCGTGATGAGTGTAAGAACTAGCAGTGGCTCCTCGATCGGTAAGATGCCATACCGCTCACGATCCCGGTAGAATGGAGGTACGACAGGACGTATCGACCATATGATACTAAAATAGAAGTCGAGATACTCGATCAATTCAGTCTTGCTTAAAATTCGTCTTTTGATCAGAACGAACCGTTCCCAGTCGGAAGTTCCGCTTGGCATGGTGGGTACGATTGATGCTTGACTTTGGCAAGTCACCGTTTGGGGCGTTACCTCGTAGTCCTTGCATTGTTGACTAGCAGCAGTGAACGTAAGTAAGTCCAGGTCATCGGCTGTGTTGTGCAGATGGGCTGAGATAATCCTCCTACGTGCGGATGGCTGCGAAGCTGGTGGAGACGGCTCGATGGGTGAAGGCTCACATTGGAACACTCCAGCGTCAGCCGCGGCTCTCTCAAGGTCACTGGGACAGTCGCCACCACTACCAACGTTGATGGAGCCGGTTGCATTTGCTTTGTTGTTGAGGTTGCCTATGGAGGCTGGTGAAATTGATGGGTCTCGGGGCGGCTGATGTCTTGGGCGCCTGCGGGATGCGTTCCTCGTGCTCCGCATTACGCACTCTCGTCCGTCGAGCTCACATCGCTGGCATGGCTGAGACTGGCCTGAGGGGTTGGCAACACAGCGAGTTTTGCGCTTGCGGCACGTCTCGCACGATAAGTATGCCCTGCGTATCTTTGAGTTGGGCGGAGACGCTGCCCTGTTGGGCGGTTGAAATTGAAGGCTACCTCGACTGTCGGAGGACATATTTTGAGTTGCACAACTCTTATCAATAATTATGACCTCGCAATGATGGAGACGGGAACAACATGTGAGAATGAAAGCGTGTAAGAAATACAATGATGCTGATATGGGCTGGGAGTATGAATCCGTCGAATGACACAAGCGTGGTTACTGACTTCTTGCTCAACAGATGGTTGATAGCGGCAGGGGGAGATTTTCGCAGGAACTTGCTTGGAGGAGGGATGCGGGGTTTCTTATACTCACCTCACTCAGTGAACTAGTGGATTGGTAGGTAGAGATGTACCCCTCGGTTGTGGACCCACCCACTGACCTTGAAAGTGCTGGTCTATAACGTTCCACCACTACCTATGTTAACGACCCTCGGAGAGAGCATCTCGATCTTCTCTGTACGGTCTGGGCATCTAGACCACATTCTGATCTGCAGCGACTTTTGAGAGAGCACGAAAGACACATACGGAAAGTACTGGATCGACCAAAGGGGCACGGCGTCTACTGTTGCAAAATGCGAATTCCACATTCAGAAGGTCAAGTATCTCGGCCGGATCGTGGGAATCAATGGAAGCAGGATGTAGTCTGGAAAGGATCCAGCAATACTCAGTTGGGCGACACCAGTATACGTCAATGATGTTCAAAGCATTCTCGTATTAGCAAACTCCTATCGAAGGTCCGTCAAGGACTTCGCGAAGAATGCATCACCACTGACGAAGCTTGAGAAGAAGAATATAACATTCGCGTGTGATGCTGGTTGGAAAGATGCGTCCCAATGGCCTTGAAAAAGCCTTCAAACCAGCACTCATCCTCAAACATTCCTACCCAGAGAAAGCTAGAACGATGGAATACGATTCATGGGACTATTTCAACGCTGGCTATTCGTCACAGCCAGATGACTCACCCCAGCGACCGAAATACTCTCAAAGGAACGACCTCTCATTGCGGTCTATGAAGTCTAAGTATGTCACACGTGGTTTCAGAGGAGCCAACTTCCAACTTTATTCATCAAATATCTTCCCAGGATTCATGAGCCAGCTAGATTTTCATGTCAGCAAAGGCGTTGCAACAACTCATACTTTGCGTAACTCACTGAGGATCCAAGCGACCTTTGATAGCCTTCATTACCCCAATTGTATCAGAGCCCAATTCTTCAAGTAAGCAATGCTACGGCGGCTTTTAGTATCACTTCATCATGTGTCGTTGGCATTCCATGAGTGCGCGCCGACATACCTTCTTCCCAATGCCGATGCCATGTTCGCCCTGTTTGCGTATCAGAGCTGAACAAATTTCAGGCACAACAATTGTCCGACGTCTTACCGACACAGTTCCTTCCATCTCTAAAGCTTTGTGCATCATTCCATTTATGAAGCCCTTCACGTTCGCCACGTCCGATGGTCTCTTCGGATCATACATGATCATCTGATGGAAGTTGCCGTCACCAACGTGACCAAGTACGCTGGAGAAGAGGCCCATCTGCATTGCATCGTTTTTGGATTCCTCTTCTATACCCGTCAGCTTTGCATGCGAAAATTGAGACAGGCGAATTCGGTACGCTACCTATCATTTGTGCCATACGTGAGATTGGAACTGCTACATCGGTGGACCAGATTTCCGTACCCTCCGGGCGGGCAGCAAGGCAAGCCCAAAGAGCTTGTTTGCGAGCGGACCACAAAGAGTCCATGTCTTCTTTCTTCTTCGCAGAGAGAAATGTCTGGCACTTGGAAGAACTACTGACGCTCTTTGCCAACCGAACACTGTCCTCGATGTTTTGTTGCGAACCTGAAAACCTAGTGTGCTTCGTCAGTTTGAAATAACTGTGATCGGGTGTGAAGAACCACGAACTTAAGAAACAGAGTCGGTAACTCTTCCCACATCTTTCCTCCCACCCCACCGCTCTTGTTTATGACTTTCATCTGTTCATCATCCATCAGTTCGCAAGCGGCGAGGTTGATGCCTTTGCGAATCATCTTGGACGCCGCGTCCGCAGCATCCTTTACAGTTAAAAATGTAGCGGTTGCCACACTGTAGTCAGATGGTACAACCGCTAGTTTTAGGGTTGCCTCCGTGATAATTCCAAGTGTGCCTTCGGATCCGGTAAATAGGCCGTTCAGGTTGTAACCAGCTGAAGTCTTGCGCGGCCGACGCCTGGTCTTAATGATAGAGCCGTCCGCTAGTACAATAGTCAAACTTAGAACATAGTCCTTCATCGTGCCATATCTCATGGCATTGGTTCCACTACAGTTCGTTGCAATCATGCCACCAATCTGTGCCGTTGGGCTAGGATCGAGAGGCAAGAACAACCCACTTGCCTTAAGTTCGTTGCTTTCGTTAAGTTGAGTCCAGTTTACGCCAGCCTGCACAGTCACATCCAAGTCGTCTGGGTGAAACTCCACAATCTTGTCCATAAGGGATAAGTCAATGCAGACCCCGGGGTGTGTGGAGGAAAAGTTGCCCTCTACACTGGAACCCGCGCCGTATGGTACCATTGGGATTCTGTAGCGGGAACAAATCTTGACTATACGGGCCACATCCTGCGTACTCGTTGGACGTACGACAGCTTTCGGCCTGACGGATGAGTTGGATGTCGACCACTCTGAATATCCGTGCTCTTCTATATCGTCTTCGTCCGTGCCCACCGAAGCGTCTCCGAGTTCTTGGCGAATTTGTGCGATTCCCTAATGGTACATCCTTAGTCTCTCAAAATGCAATAAGTCACGTTAATGAGGTGTTGTAGAAGTCGAAACATACTTTCCTTGTAGATGCTGGACTGGCATAGCTTCTAGTCTGCAGTGCGTGGAAATCGCTTCGAGGCCCTTCTGTGCCTTCTGCAAACCACAGGGCAGATCCTGTAGTTCCGATCAAAATTCCAGTGAATGCCCCGGTAGACGAAGAGAAGATTGGTATGGGGCGACAAAGGTCTCCCGCAGGAGCTAGCCCCGTAGGGTGTGCTCTCAACCACTGCGCAACGGAGCGCGTTGATGAGCGCAGAAAGCGTCGCATCGTCAGATTTATGATGGCTAGCCCGTTAACAGTTGAGGAAGAAGGGGAATGAGGAAAGGCAGCTGATGATGGGCAGCAGATCTTAGGTGAGGCAGCTTGTTATTTGGAGTGTATTTGGTCTCAGAGAATACATCTCACCAATTTCATTCTGAAGGTACGGAACAGGATATTGGTTTCTGCGTTGCGTAGAGCGTTGTCTTCGGATATTACGAGAATAGAGTAGTTCCCACGGATATATCTTTATCTATCGGACAGCATTACCTGACACTAGTCTTCATTTCGTGCCGCAAGAAAGCGAGTCTTCGAGTACTTCAAACTGTGGAATGTGAAAATACCTCGGATACTCGGATATTATCAATGCGGTTTAGCGCCTAGCACGTCACCACACCTATCATACCGCGGTCCCCAATAGATAGTGGCAGATTTGGGTCCAGAACGGCAATCATTGTCTCGTGCTTGTTTTGCGTAATCACATCCCTTGCCAGTACAAAAGTACATCCGCCTCCAATGCGTGACTTGGAGACCAAGCCGAAGTGATCAACTATAATTCCACTGCAGAACAGGCAGTCTCAGCAGTGGTTCTACGACATATGTTCGGGACAGCAAGCTGGAGGCATCTGGCTTCAGGGTACTGGGTGCGTTATTTCAACGCAAGGACAGAAACACAAGAAATTGACAACTTCCCAGAAAGCTTAGATTTCCTTGCATTCGCTGGAGAGAATGTCATTCGAGGATTCTTTCTCGACGTATATAGGACTGCTAGATCGACATACTGGTTCTATTTTCACAATCATTTAGCCTCGCTGGACCAGTGCCAATGCTACTACAAAAGTCTACAGAACAGATGTTCCGGCACGTCGAGCTGGGCGCATGGGGTTCAGCTGCCGCTTGCAAGAAATCTTGGCTTCCTAGATCTGAAACCAGACTAGGCTGGCCTGGTCGTCCCGACCGACATCTGGACGAAGTCCTGATCTTGGAATCAGACGAGTATCCACACGTGGAGTTTAGGAGCACGCATACATACGTAGCTACTCCGCCGAATGGGGCTCCAATCCTAGTCTACTTTTGTATCTCGGACACACAGAGAATTCTCGAAAGCATCACCATGCGTTGGCTACAGGCCATATAAGAGTCTGATCAGAGCTGCATTCAAGAAGTATTGCCTACTTGCCAATCCATTCTTGTTTGTACATCTATGTGTTTCACTCCTTTCTTCCACAAAGTCATTCGTTGATCAAGTTTCCTAGTCGTGATCGGCTATCGGACAATCATTTCTTACAAACTTCTTATCTATCTCTCTCCTTCTTTCATCAACATGCGTTCCATACTACCTCTCCTCGCCGGCGTCAGTCTGTCTGCAGCTTGGACCGAACTTCACCATGAGCCATTCATGAACAAGAACGTTGATCCAATTGTCGTTCCAGGCACCTATACTTCGCATATGCACACCTTCTTCGGCAGCGACGCGGTCACCAATATTCTCCCCACCTCGGCTGACCTGCAGAAAGGCTGCTATAGCGGCCAGAATGCCAACGACTTGTCTGTTTACTGTACGTATGACAGCAATTTACCTTGATCTTGCTTCTTTGCATCTGACCCGACTGACAGGGGTCCCCACACTGTACTACGTCGATGGTGACACCTTCACTGAGGTGCCTGTCTTCCGCTTCAGTACCTATTACACCAATGCCTTCGCCGAGATCGCCATCCCCCAGGATTTCGCCATGATCTCCGGCAACGCGTCTGCGCAGACCCAATCCGAGGCCGATCACCCTTCCAACGGATTGGAGTGGTTCTGTGAAGGATCGAACGTGCGTGAATCTGATATCGCCAAATTTCCCACCAGCACTTGCGACCAGCACTTGCAGGTCTCGCTTCGCTTTCCCAACTGCGTCAACCCGGACAACCTCGCTGCATACGACTGGAGCGACGAATCCAACAAGTGTCCTGAGGGCATGAAGGCGATCCCCCAGCTTCGCTATGCTGCCCGGTACAACACCAAAGCTGTCGTGCCCGACGGCTGGAGAGGCGACGCTCCCTTTCAGCTGTCGTGTGGCAGCGCCTCGGGCAACGGATACTGCTTCCACGGCGACTTCATCAACGGCTGGTACGAAGATGCTGCCGAGAACATGCTCGCGTCCGGCGGTGGTGGTTACGAAGATGGCCAGTTCATCAGCGGTGAGCACGGATCTGTTGCGGCTGATTCTAGCTGCACCCCTACTGATCAGGACCCTGACAACGGGACGAGCGACTATCATTCAAGCTTGGAGATGATGAACGGTGGAGCAGCTGTAATCGAGGCCGTGAATGCGACTTCTGTGCCTGTGACCACAGTCGCTCAACCTACCACCTTGGCTCCGGTGTCGACACCTGCGGTGAGCTTGACCTCGGCACGTCGAAGACGGGTCAAGACCATGATTGTCTAGAACCCCTCTTGGGCAAAAGCGCTACTAGACAGCCATAAACACATGCCTTTTGGGGATACGCTAGTCACTGGCCGATGCTTTCCCTGGGCCGTGCTTCTGGGTGGTTTGGGTAGTTCTTGTTGAGTACTCTACGGGCGAGAGTATGTCGGTCGAAGCGACGGTCGAACGGAAGGTCTTACATTTCTCTAGAGCTGGCTCTTGTCTTTAAACTGCCATTCAAGCACTATGACATGATTCAAACACAAACCCTGTTGTTCTCATGCATCAGAATTGACCGATGCAATAGAGTCTATTTATGTGAAGCTCCTCGTCGATCAACCTCGCTTAAATGATGTAGGAGCTAAATCTAGTCTGTCGTTGGTGTTTTTCGACTATATAGTCATAACTCTTGTTTGTTCTGATGAACCGCTCAGGTATACATCTCGAATTTCCGTTACGCATTTTCGTTAGCCGAGATATCCAAGTGAGAAATGAAGAAACCAGGTTAACCTGCCTTCTGAATTTGGTGAATACAAAACAATCAGGCTGCATTATTTACATTAGACGAAATCGATCTCCTTTACCCTCCGTCATGAATTGCATCTTGCACCACTATACGCAAATGTATGAGGAGATGACAAGAAAGTTTACTGGTCTTGAGCTTTACCAAGTTACCAGGGCAGTACTGTTTGACTACTTATCCAGACAATGATTCGCCTCACCGGCCAATGAGAGACTTTGAGTTAAGCTTAAACTAACCCCACCCTGCACCTCCCCCTGGACCACTTGGCGCACTTAACCCTATGAGTACGTACTTACGTAAGTAAGTGCCAAGTACCTTAGTTGCTCAGTACTCCCGTCGCAGTTGTGATTGCAATCAAGTTCAGTGCAGCGGTGTCGTTGTTTTTTCGCAGGTGTGGTAGCGTGAAAGCAGGATTCCGCATACTGAATTACCTCACACGGAGAAAATGAGTTAGCACTAAACTTTGAAGCAAGCCTCATTCTTCTTGTAGCTCTGATATCTCTTCCGAGTACATTCCATTGTTCGCCACAAACTACAGATTATATCTGAAGGATTCGTTCTCCCGATCCGTCCGGTCTTGCAAACCGTGAGACAGCTCCGGTGGACCGTGGACTCTGTCGCGCCTCTTGTTCTCTCGGTCGAGTGCCCATCGGAGCGTGATAGCAACAAAGACACAGACCGCAAAGCAGATCATGATTCCTGTGAATGATTCGTCGTAGCGCGGTGCAAATTTTCTATGACCATTAGCATGCGTACGGTCAGACGTGGTATGCTGATGTACTTACGCGTCAAACATGAGAGGGCCAATGATGTTCCCGAGAGAATAGCCTATAAACGTCCCGGCAGCATACACAGCTTTCTTGGTGTGTCCAGCAACGTTGGACGTGCCCAGGCCAATACACTGAACCCATGCGGATGAGAAGAAGTTGATAAGGTAGAAGCCAAGGATACGACCTGCTCTGTTGGAGTCTGGAAGTTGCCAGATCAAGGAACAACCCAAGATGACAGGAACACATGCTCCTGTAACAACGTAGAACCTAGAGTTGGGAACTCTTCTGCCAATATAACCTGAACTGAGGATACAAATAAAGGCCAGAGCACCAATAGGAAGATTGAGCAGTAGAGATGTAAAGACGTCGAAACCCATGTCCTTGAACACAATGGTCCCGAAAGTCGTCACGGCGCCGGAGCCAGTGCAAGACACAGTAGACAAGACAATGATGCCCCACATTCGATAGTCCAGCAAGGCTTCTCGGAATTGATAGGGCTTGAACTGCTTGTCTTCGGCACCAGCATTGTTCTGTCGGACTCGCTCGAGAAGAAGGCGGCGCTCGGCTTCTGTGAACCCCTTGGCATTCTGAGGGCTGTCGGGAAACAGCCACCAGAGAGCGATACCCCAAGCTAGGGTGGCGAGACCGGCAATGATATACATCCATTGCCAAGAGTTGAGTGCACCTCCCTTGATATGGCCGAGTCCGTAATTGATAAGAGGTGAGACAAGAAGAGATCCGCCGCTGCAAGAATACCACCAGCTGGATCGTGATATCTGCTCTGAGTGGGTGTACCAGAGGCCCACGACAAGCATGAAGATGGGAGATACACCTGCCTCTATGAGACCAAGCATGAAACGGTTGACAAGGAGTCCTGAATAGGATGTACAAGCGGGCGTGCAGAGAATGACGAAAGACCAGGCTACGCAGATAGCCGTGCAGACAATTCGCATCGGGTACCGTTGGGCGAGGAACGAAATTGGATAAGTGCCTGCGATGTATCCAAAATAGAAAATCAAAGAGACCCAAGAATATTTGAGACCGGTGGTGAGCTCTAGATCCTGTCTCAGGCCAAATATGGCGGCCTGGCTGAGGATAGCCTTGTCGTAGTATTGAAGGGCATAAGTGAAGCAGAGCTTACAAAGTTAGATTCAACCGTGACAAGGAAAGGGCCATGACTTACAACAGGCATCAACTTTCGATCGATTTTTCGAAGCAACTTTCTGTTCGTCTTCTCATCGAGTTCCAGGCTACTTCCCATCACTGAGCTGGGAACCCTCTCAAGGTTAACGATAGATGGCTTCCCACCAACACTAGCATATGAGATGGTCTCGTTTTTGTGATCTTCCATATTCGTAGTCATAGTCGCTAAACAGGAGGGGGTAGACGAAAGCTCAGGCAGAAATTTGAGAACAAGAGGCGCGATGAGAGCACGGGCCCGACTAGGATGAAGTTGAAGATTGGGCCGAGCAGAAGTGGGCAGGAACCACGAGTTTAATGTAATCAAGGGTGAGAATATCTGGGATCCAATAACCCCTTATGTTCTACCCCGTATTTACGAATTTGCAGCTTGGGCTAGGTCCTTACTCGGCGTAGCCTCCTGTCCACAAGACGACGCGTCTCAATCCTGGTGAGTGGGGAGTGAGAGCTGGTATGCCAATGTGGCACATTCCTCGATTGGTAATGCAAATTGTCCGAAAACCAATTCGCAACTGTGCCGACCGGATATCTGGGAGGTTAGTTCACTTTCAGAATTTCCGAACCCGCCTTTTGTCGACGGCCTCGGTCTCGATCTCATCCTGACCAAAGCCAAGCTCTATCACTGGCCTCTCCAAAGTCCAAACAATAGCTAGGTAGTTTTGATGTTCCCAAGCAAGGTCGCATGACAGCGATTTTACTAGCGCCATTGCTGAGTTCTCCTCGCTGTCATCATTGCCTTTTCCAGCCTTGTTTGACTATTATAATTCGGCCAACCCTTCCATTGTCATGACCCATGGTGGTAAGGCCACTGAGGATCGGCTGGGCACGAGAAAACGGGGTACCAGTACCCGGCGAATTTTACCCTTCTCAAGACGTGCAGCCTCCAATTGTCTGTTTTGACAAGAGGGACAAGAGGAACGGCGTTGTCGAGATCTACTCCGTCCAGCAAAACCAAGAATTTCCTCTTCGCGTGTACTGCTTTGTTTGCTCGGTAAGTTGTCATGCTTCGGATATTCTCAACGTAGTCTAGCGCCTTATTTTACGCTATTCCGTAACGCGATCCACCCCGCAATCCCCTTGCGTTCTAACACCTTTCTATTGAGATGGATCATCCATAATCAGGATTGTTGTTAGTTTGCATATTGGCAAACACATGCGGGGATGACAATTTCCTGACCTCCAGCCAGTTGAGCAACGCTTGGGACGCACTCGGACTCCAGCATACTCGGTGGTTGTGCTTCGAGCCACGGCAATTCAGAATGAGCTTGCGTTCTTGAACGCCTAACTTCTTCTGTTATATAATGGCCCCCAGCGCAAGATCGTCAACAGATCGATCGTTCACTCCCTGCTCAAACGAAAGTCCGAACAATTTCTATCTTGTCCTTGTTGATTTTCATTCATCATCAGAGGTGCTGTGTTCGCAATGAGGCTTCTCAATCTTCTAGCACTCACCCTCCTTGGCAATCTGTCAATGGCGGGACCGACTGACAAGCGAGCTGCTCTAACACAGGTCACCAGTTTTGGCAGTAACCCTGGTAACCTTAACATGTACATCTACGTTCCAGCCGAAGTCGCGGCCTCTCCTGGCGTCGTGTTTACACTCCACGGCGCTTCCGGCAACGCTCAGCAGCAATTCGCATCCACACCTTACGCAACGCTGGCGGAGCAGTACGGCTTCATCGCCGTTTACCCAGAATCCCCTCAAGGTGCATGGGATGCGACCTCTAGCAAATCACTTTTGCATAACGGTGGTGGCGCAAGTCAATCAATTGCTAGCATGGCTGCCTACGTGGTCAGCACATACAAAGCTAATACCAGCAAAGTATTTGTCTCTGGGGTGTCTTCCGGCGGCACAATGGCAGTGAGTCTTGTCGCCTTGAATATTGGACTCCGTGAGCCCTCTGACAATGCGACCTGTAGTTTACCTTGGCAGGAGCCTACCCTGACGTCTTCAAAAGCGCTATCGTCTATTCTGCTGCTTCCACAGCGAACATCAAGAATCAGTATCCAGGATATACTGGCACTTACCCTAGCATTCAACTCTATCTCGGCTCTACGGACACCATCATTGGTACATCAACATTTAATAAGTCGCTTGCGAACTGGGCCCCGGTCCTTGGTTACGACACTGCCCCGGATCAAGTGCTCACCAACAGTCCTGTCAGCGGATGGACGACGTATGTCTTGGGCAGTAAGCTTGAAGGCATTTACGCCCAGGGTGTCGGGCATCCCGTTTCGACCCAAGGCAATGAAGACATGAAGTGGTGGGGTTTTGTCTAATAATCCATTGGTTGATGCTACCGCTGAAGGTTGTAAATAGCGTCAGCATCTTTTTCCCTCTTACACGAAATTCCAATCAGTACATGTTACATGTACGTAGGATCCCCGTTATAGAACGCATTGAGCTTGTCAATCGTGCGGGGTTCAGTAAAAACGTGACAAGAATACAAAGAGGTCAGACACTTTTGACACGATTGCTAGATGGTGCGAAATTCGTTGTACACATTCACAGAGTTGGAGTGTACTTACCGATCTTTCTTTTCACTCTTAACTGAATATCACGGTTTCTCCGCTGTTCCTAGCCGCAGCCCCCGACCGACGAATTATAACTACTGTGAAGAGCGACCCCCCAGTCGGTTCGCTTGCCACTGCAGTCGGCCCTGTCATGTCGAAAGTGAGTATAGCGATTTAGTCCTTTTTTGGTAACCGCGCGCTGAGCTCAGTCACATTTGGACGACACACTTTTCTGGTCCACTAGTGAAATTAAGGGCTGGTGACGTTAGACAGCGGCCGAGCAAACGGAGCTGTTTGGTAATCTGGGCTTATGTGGCTTGTTAAGGTCTTCGAATTGAGAAATTGACTCACAAGATGGAAGTTTTTTTGTCCCGGTAATTGTGGCAGGTGGACTTGGAGAACATATGTTCACCTGTCTGGACGATGTATATGGTTGAGCTGTGGATCAGGAGTGTATCATTATGTGACGTTTTCGGTCCTAGATCTCTGCGCCCGTCCCCGGCATGTCCTTACTGCTTTTTACTGAATCACGCCGGGTACGCGCTCTAGCCGAGCTGGATACTCATGTGGGCTGTCCGTGTGAGGACCAGGGCGGTTGATGCACTGCGCTGGTCCAGCACAGTTGCTCCTGTTGTGGTCAGTCTGACCACAGCGTTGGCAGACTGGCCCCCTATGATAGCTGCGGGCATAATGGTAGCGTCAACATGTCTTACACTGTTTGAGCCATGCAGGCCCTAACGCACTAAGTATGTTGCGCCGTAAGAATTGCTTTCAGATATCTTTGCTGGAAATTCTTCAGATAAGATCAAGAATGATCACCGAATCCATTGCCATCGCTCCCGAAATACGGACATAGCTTGAATAAAGCTGTCCTGAACAGGACAATTTGAACTAGGAAGGCCTCGCCGATGATGAAGCAGCCTCCTTGCCCGAGTGAGGGGTTCGGAGTCGAATTGCATCCGCTTAGACTTTGACTATGCCCCACGGCGGGTATTTCCCGTCAAAATTGGATGTCCTAATGATGCTTAAGTTTCTAGTCACCAATCATGACAGATCTTTCCATCAGTAAGAATATTGTGAGTCATGCCTACATATACCTGTAGAGATGACGCGTCGTCTCCCCGCCCCCTAAATTCCTGATCAGGGGTCCCTAGACCGTTGAATACAGAAGTTTTTCGCCGAGTTAGAGACATAGACATGTTACTCGGCCGTAAAAAGGAGAATATGGGGCTGTAAAATTTGGTCGAACAGAGTATTCGTTTGCCAGATAATGATTATCCAGGATCATGTGGTGGTCTTTTTCCGGCTTTACAGGCGCAAATGATCGACCTTAACGGGATCAGGCTTCCAAGGAAAATCACACGATACGGTACACTTTTTAATTACACAATCCAGGATCATGATCTTGGCATCCGCCACTATGAATGACATTCCGCCACCTTTGAAATATAGAAGCAGGTACCGAACTAGCCAAACGTATGGCTTGCAAGTCAACAAAGAAATCATTTCCGTTCGATACGTAATAACGAGTTGGGCTCTAAATTTCGGCGTCTAATGCAGACTTTGCAAGCGTTGGCAACATGGAGGCATCGAAATATCTCGCATAGCGGTGAAAAGCGAACGTGGATTTATGGATAGGTATTGGAGGCTGAGGAGGCTTTAACGTCAAGCTCACTGCCTCTCATGTGGAGAGGCAAGATGCCATCGTTCATATGCATCTTTTCTGAAAAGAGAGTCTAGACGAGGTGTCACCTGGAATGCGTGCGGTAGCCCCTCCAAGCTAAATTGCCTGGGACAAAACTGGGTTTACCATGAGGAAAATTTGAAGGGTGATCTGACCGTCTCAAGTATCTACATCAGGGTCTAGAACATCATACCCGACAACCGGAGTATGAATCCAAGCGTTTCATCCGGCATTGACGTGAAATTGTACACTTCAACGTACAATCCGCTGAAAACGTCATGGTGTTTGACTCCTGTTCGATATCATTCAATCTCGGCAACTCGTTGAACTTCCAATATGTTTAGTAACAGTATTCCTAACCTTCTCGCCTATTGTCTCACCCTTTATTTGTCCGTTGTGAGCGCGCAAATTGCGACTTTGGACCAGTTCTTCAATAGAACGACCTTCCCAAACGGAAAAGCCGAGAACGTTACCATATACCTGAACGAAGCCGTTGATCTCGCCAAGACCTGGTCTCTCTATCAGTACTTCCAGGATTTCTGCATCACTCAGCAGGTGTACCCTTCACTATTCCGATTTCCCGCCGGGTTTGTCGAGCCGTTCTCACCATTTGACCGGCTCAACTTTGTCGGTCACAACTTCGTGTCTGCCTGGGCATATGATACCGGCGACGGTATCGTTCTGATCGATGCTCTCGACAAGCCGGAAGAAATCAATGCCATACTGATCCCCGGCCTTCAGAAGTTCGGCTTCAAGAGGTCTGATATCAAACACTGCATTATCACCCGTGAGCATGTCGACCATGACGGTGGCGCCAAATATCTCAAAGACACCTTTAACACCACACTTTGGGCTTCCGAGGCTGCCTAGACATCCATGGCTGCTCTCGCCAGCACAATTCCAACACCGCCTATGAGAGACCAGATCCTCATCGACAAACAGGAGCTCACTGTCGGCAACGTCACATTCATGTCCATACTCACTCCTGGTCATTCCCCTGGCAACCTGTCCCTCGTCTTCCCCGTCTTTGAACAGGGCGTTCCTCATATCGCTGGCTTGAATGGCGGCACTGGCATCCCCGCACCCAAGGTTGATAGAGAGAAGAAGATTGTGTCCCAGAATCATCTTGGCAATGTGGCCAAGATGGAAGGGCGTTGACACGCTAATATCGAGCCACCAAATTGCCGACCACGCCTTGTTCCAAGCCGACCTTCTAAGTCATCGCCAGCCTGATGCAGCCAATCCCTTCGTGGTTGGCATCGATGATGTTCAGAATTACATGAAATTCAACGCGCTCTGCACCAATGTGATTGCTGCGCGACAGGGCATGGATTTAGATGTCTGAGGTGCTGGCTACATAGCGATATAGAACAATCAGCAGCCTGTTCTTCTGATTACACGATAGTGATACGATAGTCCTATCGACTCAGCCACGATGTTTAAGCAGCTGAATGTTTGTTTTCCACGGAGTCTCCGTTCCATATAGGCCAGTGCCAGCAAGAGACGATCAATTGCGTACGCAATGTCTAGAATGCATGTAGATCATAGATAGTTTCTAAAATCAATGATCAGAGAGGGAAAGGAATACTTCACGTTCTCATTAAGTTGAAACTAGGCTAGTAAGGTCAATGAGCCTCGAGTTGCGGCTTGTGCAAATAGCAAAACTCTTCGTCCAAGTCTACCGGTGAACCCTTGTCTTTCGTTAACTTCACGACCAGGTTGTCTTCGTATGCAGAACGACATGTTATTATTGCGGGTCTATGATTGTGTGAGGAGCGACCACACATAACTGTAGTCGGGAAATCTCGATCAACCTAAGCATGACAGGAAGCAAATCCACTCCGTCTCTGGACCAGCTACTAGCTACACTGATTTTGAGGATGCAGAACCTTGATTACAAGTAGCAGTGCACTTATTGTGGCTCAAGATGCGGTCTCAAGCATTTTCTTAACGGGTGCCGTCTCCCACAGCAGTCCCAATGGCTGCATTGAAAAGCTGCGCATTCAGAAGGTACGCCGGCGCATACTGAGTATACCAATCCGACATCTTCGCAATACCCGGAGGACCGCGCCAATCTTTGAAAAGATCAGCTGCGATGCTGAACAGACCTGCTAGGTGCACACCCGCTGCCTGCATGCGAGAGTTGGATACATCGCGGATAAGCTCTGAGGTAGTGCCAGATGCTTCGACATTAGCCCAGACGCTATAACCTTCTTCACGGAGAGACAGAGACAGGAAAGTAACGCCTGATCAATGATTCAGTAAGAACGCTGTATTTACCTTGAGAGTTATGAAAATACTTACAAACATCGGTCACAATACCGGCAACGATCATCTGGTTACGACCAGTTGCCTTGACGGCATCCCTGAATTCGGCATTGTCCCACGCATTGATCTCACCGGGACGCTTGATGACAGGGACGTCCGGGTACATGTCAAGGATCTCCTTTGGAAGAGGACCATTGGGACCTACCACTCGTTAGTAACAGTCGATAAACCCGAAGCCTCGTAACAGTCAGATTCAACCTTCTTCCTGAGATGTGGTAATAATGACCGGTAGGTCGTAAAGCTTCCCGAGGGCTGCATGAGCAATCACGTTTCTGTAGAAAAGTTGGCCATCGAAGTCTCGGGCCAAGTTGAACAGCCCAACTTGGTGGTCGACGATCAAGAGAACCTGTACAATGTATCAATAATGCGGTCGAGAACCCATTGACTACTAATGAACGAACCGAGTCATTCTGACTAAGCCTCTCGAAGGGGACAGCTGCTTCGAATTAGCACATGCCAAGAAAAATATGTTCGTAGAATCCTCACCATCAGCTCTGGCAAAGCTGGAAACAGCGCTGATCAGAAGCAGAAGGCTACAGAAAGATAGTGGAGCCATTGTCTAGACGGTTTGTGATCCTAATTTTTGAAAAGCGTTCTGAAGTGTCGTTGGGGAAGGTAAAGAGAATGCTGTGCGTTGACAATTTTACGGCTCATGTCCAGGAAGCAACCACCCATTTATACGAACAGAATCTTTCGTCGATTGTGATATACTAAATCCTCCTTGAGGTCAGCCTAGCGCTACCCATTGCTCACGATAGACCAGAAACGCAATGGAATCACGTTTGGACCCTTGCATTTCCAAAACTTTTGTCATCATGGATTCTTGAGTTTGTAAGACGGAAATTTAGGCTCAACGCAAAGAGCGGGCAAGCATTTTTCATCATGACACGCTACCAAGAAGGCTAGGGTCAGTCAGCTAGACGGTATGACCCACACTGCTTTCGCCATATCCCATGGGACTCTCATTCGATACGCCTTCACGATGAACCATGGGGAAACCATCATGTAAGCGGCCCTACGGACTCCGAGGGCGAGACTTCTCGGACTAGTTTACGGGCCAAGACTTGGATCCTCAAGACATGAACTAGATAAGTGGATATACATATATGAAGCCACATATATATATTCATAAGTACATCTTTTCACACCATATTCATGTAGGTGTAGCATGCAAATCTTTTTGATTCGTAGTAATTGCAAGGAGAAGAAATGGGCAAGATGTAAGCAGAGGCATGCTATTCTGGCCGGCTTGATTCACTACCCTTTCCTGCCTACCTGATTTTTCCAAAGATAACCATTCAAGACGACACGTGAAGAGACAGGTTAAGATGCGTTCCATCAACAGCCAACCTTATCCACCAAGAGCGCAAAGTTTTCGTATGAAGATTATTTTCTCGTTTTTGGCCAAGAATACACTCGCCTGCGCTGTCACCACAACTCAACTGAAATGCCATTGAGTCCGAGAGGATTTGATTAATACATTTCGCGGAACCTTCCGTAGTTGTCTTCGTTCTTTTATGATCGATATCTGGGGACTGGGTGCCGGAGATCACCCAGGCTAGCTGATCGCGCACCCAAGACCCAGGTTTGCTCCTTCGAGATATTTCTCTGTTATGCAGACGATTCGGGTGTAAAGTTGCGGCAAAAGACTAATATCATGCCAAGCACAGTATCCACCGTGTATGGCATCATTCTAAAGTGCTGAGCCACGGAGCCTGTGGATTATTAGGATAAGCAATCGGTAGATTCAAGATTGCAGCAGAACGTAAGAGACTTCGTCGTTATTCGCCATAGCCCTGAACAATCGTTGTCAGCCTGACAAATTGGCGCGCGGGGTGCACCAACATGAAAGCCGGCACTTTGACCAAGCGCTCGTCTCTAAAGCCACTGTGGGTCTCAACCCTTCCACACCCGCGCGGGGGGTCCGGATCCATACATTAATTACATGAGCTACGGGCGGAGGGGGGAAACAGGGTGAAAACAAACCATCAAGTCAAACTGTACATTATCCTGATGCAGGTGTGAAGGAGACATTTGTCAAAATATCAAGCTATAAAGTGGAGATATCTAATGATTCAACGTCCCGTACTACGAGGTCTTGGTAGCAGTCTTTAATTTCTGTAAACTCAGTGACCTAGTTCCTTCGCTCGTTGCACCGCCGGTCAACATGAGAACCAAAGTCGTCGCAGACCTCTCTTCCAAGAGCAATAAGGTTTTCAATGGCCCAGAGACGCTTGTTAGAGAAGATGAACATCCCTCCTGGGACGAAAGCAAAGTTGCTTGTGTAGTCGTTGGTGAAAATCTTTCCCAGCAGAACTCCCGAAGAGTCCCACGCGTGGACTCCGTCGCCACAGGACGCCCAAACATTTCCCTCGATATCTGTGTGTAATCCATCGGGGATTCCATTATCAGCGTAGGCGAGGACCCTTTTGTTCGTCAAGCTCCTTTTCCGATTGACGACATCAAAGGCGTAGACTGTCGCCGGACCTGTAGGAGTCAATCTTGTCGTAGCAGCGCCTGTGTCAGAGACGTACAGCGTCTTGTAATCCGGCGAGAACTCGATCCCATTCGGCTGTTGAAGGCCATCTGCTACAACCTGGATACTTTTACTGTCCATATCATACCGATAGACTTGCGTAGGCATTTGAGGGCTGGGGCGGAAGCCATTGAAGTAGGCGTATGTAGCGTCGGTAAACCAGAGGTCACCGGTCTCCGGGTGCTGACGGACGTCATTTATAGACGTGAAGTTCCGGTTGAAGAAACTTGAGAAAAGCGTTGTTGTTTGGTTGGCATCAGGGTCCAGAGAGACTAGCTTGGAATAATTATTCGTGTCGCCCTGATCACACCAAACTTGCAAAGTCTGGTCTGACCCCATATACCTTCCTCCTCTATTGGCACGAAATACTGATCCGCCATTGGGCATGCTCAAGTTGACGTACCGCTGACTTCGAATTGAAAGGTCGTCGAGAGATAGTACTGTGATGTTGATGGGGTTGCCGACGGTGTCGAAGTTAGAGGAGATGTACAGCGAATTATCCTTCTTATTATAGATACCACCCTCATGAAAGGCTTCCCATGAAGTCTCTTGGGCGACTTTGCCAGTCGCATTCTGACCTATCAGCTTGGAAAATGACGGTTGATATGACAGAAACTCAACCGCGGCAGCTTTTGCCCAGAGCATCAAGGTAGCCCAGAGTGAGAGGACCACGACATAGTTGGAGAACCGAGAGATAATAAGCATTGTTTATGAGTTTGACAAGTTTCCTTGACTAAGAGCATATGATTCTCAGCTTGAGATACTGCTGGAACGGGTGGAGAGTTTTGCGTCGGCCTCTTTCAAGCGCGTTACGTGAAAGAGCGAGCAGCGAGAAAGTAGCGTGTCAGGATGGGTATATGTAGTTACGGCGAAGGAGCAGGCTACAACGGCCGGACCTTGTGCAATACCATCGAAGCACGCTGTAGCACAAAGGGGCGCGCACTGCTCGAAACCTACATGTATGATGACTCCGTATGACCATCCAGGTATAGTTCTCTTCTCACGGGTGGGATGTGGATTAGAAGGCTCTTGAATCCGGGGCAAGGTCTGCTTGACCACGTCAGACGATCTGCGACAATGCAGTACGTGCAACACGAATTTGTACAGCATTAATACCTTAGACGAGCTCAAGCCAGTGACGGAACTTTAATCTTGTATGATTACGACTGGAGATGTGAAACCTGCAGTGCAATGTTGTACCACATCTGAATTTATCAACGAGGGAAAAGGCTCTCCGCAAAACTTAGATTACACCAATCGTAGCTGGGCGGGAAGCAAGCGTCGGCAGTCTGGTTCAACAGAAAAGAGCTCATATTAGGCGCTATAGCGACAATTCCAAGCAAAAAAGGTGTGCCTGCTGCAGCGCCAAGAATCTAACGCAGCTCAATATACGCGTGATTCGAGCGACCTATCTCCCAAAGATGCAAAACTTTGTTACATAAACCAGCACACCCACGCTTTCAGGCATCCGGGGTGAGCTGGTACGCCTCTATGACGATGAAATCATTGCCAACCGTCGTAATTCCAGCAATTGCGATATTGTTCACCCAGTAGTACTCGTCATTACCAGTCTCTAGTGTGATGTGCGTCAAAATGCGTCCATCCGGCTGGCTAGGGCCCTGGGAGTGTGCAAAAATGTCGACGCCATCGTTGGTGCGAATTTGATAGTAGGCGTCGACGTTGAACGTGCCCTTCGAGTCAAAGAGGCCCCAGTCTGCGCCTATGCTCAGCACCTCGCCTGGCCGGGCAAAGTTGTCAGCCCAATGCAAAATAATTCAGCCCTTTTCTTGGTCGACGCAAGCATACCTGAAAGCTTGGATCCCGTAAGTGTGCCCCCAAGAATTGGTATAGAAAGTCTGGTACCCTTAGGACCAGGACCGAAAGATGTTTGCTGTCCAGTGGTAATGTTGGCTTGGAACAAAACTCCTGATTGCAAGGCTGCAGCGGCAGTACCCAGGCAGGACAGAAGACCCAAAGATGCCAGGTTGAGGATTATTGAGGATAACATAGCGGTGCGGCGTAAGAGAAAACTGATTAAGTTGTGTTTCAAGTCGTTAAGCTTGTTCGGGACGAGACTTAGGATGAACTCTGGGGTTCTATATATGCTAGATAGCAGCCAGCGGCATGATCCAAGTCCAAGTGTGCTATGCCTCATTGATACAAGCCAGATTCCATTTCGGATTTGTGAGCAAGGCCAAGATTTTTGTTTTCGTGGCAGGTGTCAGTCAACACTGGAAATCGAAACGGGCAGCCCGGAACTGGTAGTGCGAGGTCACGAAAATGTGCCCGCTGGACCTACGAGCTGAGACTACGACACGACCGTAAACATCATCGGCTACCTGAGCTTTCCCCGGTGACTGGCATCGCTTTCTCCGGTGTATCTCCCCCACCCCCCCTGGGGGTCCATGTCGATGGTAGTTGCTTGCTAGCGGCTGTGGTAAGTTCACACTCTAATTGGAGAAGCTTCCACCCGCAACAAATCAAACGAGAAAATACAACTTGAGACGGACAAAATCGGAGTCCCGGCGTTCCTCTGAGCATCCTACTTGATCCGCGGTCGGATCATCTCGAGTATTTACTCTTTGAGCATGATCCCTGCGACGTTAACCGCGCGCTATGTGCTGAACAAGATTACAGTTTGGAGCTACACAACTTGTCCACGTACAGGGTAGGGATACTTGACTAGTTGAATGCCTCGGCGAATTCTTTCCTATTCTGGCGATCACACATACTGAGTACTCTTGTTGAATGTGTGAGTTCACTTAACTCAGTCGCAACTATTGAATCTACCATGTTACGGAGATTGATATCCGCGTGCCGACAATACCAGGTTCATGGCGTAACTTAATTCGGGTTGTGAACTCCAAGAAGCCTGCAATGAGGCCTACTCATAAGGTTTTCCTTACGAAAAGAGAAGTATAGATTAATCACTTCGACTGGTCTTCTAAGGATCGACGCCAAATCTTAATTCTCCGGCTTGGAGTTCAATGATTTGTGTCAGATGAGAGATATTTGCCTATCTCTGCATTGGCGAAGGTCAAAGAAGCAAGCGATTTCCTGACAGTACGCAACTCACAATGAGTCTGGCTTGGTCGTCAGACCTAGCTGAGTCGATAATGATCATAGCAACTGATACTCCATACGAATCTCTCCAAAATGACTCTATTCTGCCAAACATAATTTTCACGAGCGCATATAATATTAGATCTAAGATGATTTTTAAAGCCATCAAGAATGACTTCGTGTAGTAAATCGGGTAACAAATTGCTTACGGTTAGTATGAACTTCACTGATAGAATCCATACCATACTAACAAAGCTCGTACAAGTGATTTAAGCATTCTGTATTCTACCGAGCTCAGAACCGCACTAGATAAATGACCAAATGTTGCTTCACATCGTTGCAAAAGCTCGAACGTTACATTCTGGCTATCTTCGTCTGGAGGAATGTCACATAACCACAGCACTAAGCCTTAGAAACAAGCGTGGCTTTGATTTCGTCCTTCAAGTGTTCGAGCCCTCGCGTAAAGTTGTATACTTTGGCCTCGATACCAAGATTTCCGATAGATATGGTCTCTTGAGGATAATAGCTGTACCAATCGGGGTATTGTTCACTGAACCTGAATTGACTAGCCATTTCGGGACCAAATACAGGTCCGACAAGTTTGGAGATCTCCGTGTCCGTTAATTCGGCGTACACGGCAGGCTTGCCAGTAGTCTTGCTCCATCCCTCGACCACCGTTATCCATGGTATAAAGTCGGTTACAATCGGGACGTATTTTGTATGCGTCTTTTCCGGCTGAGAGATGATGGCATGGACGACAATGCCAGTATTGAGGGAGACGACTCCGGCAACAGGGACGATACCATCAGCCTTAGATGGTTGCGCCAAGATGTATTGTCCCAGATACGGTTGAGGAAACATCAAAGGCTGGTTGACCATATTGTCCAGATACCATCCTAACCACACGTAGGTAGTCTTTGCTGCAAGGCCGGGATGGGCTTTCTTCACGTATTCCCCGCCCCTCGCCTTTGCATCCCAATGGGGACATGGAAGCTTGCCGTTAGAGATATCTCTACAATTCGGCATCGTACTGAGAATCAAATGCTTGAGAGTCGAACACTGGGTACAAGCATCAGCAATGTTGATGAACTGCTGCTCCTCATCTTTTTCAGCAGCTTCTAAGCCATGCTTGGGAGCGATTTCCCAGAAGTTTGTCGTCCCGAAAACTGCCGTGGCACCCGAGAAGGCTTCAGATAAAGTTGAAGAATTATTGAGATCAGCAAATACAATCTCGATTCCAAGTCTTTCGAGCTCCTTGGCTTTATCGCTGTTTGGGTTCCGAGTCAGACCTCGTACTTTCCAAGCCGGGTCTTTGGCAAAGATGCGGGCGACAGAACCACCCTGAGTGCCTGTGGCTCCGGTAACGACGATGAGAGGCATGTCGGAAAGTTGAAAGTCGAGATTTAATCGATCTGTCCAAATGGAATAGTAGATGTAAGGTCAAGCGGGAAGGGTTTTCATTCGCATCGGCTGGGTTTAAATGTATCTTGCCCCTGGTGCGGCGCGTTGAACAACTCCGGCTCCGAAAACAGCAAGCGTAATAACCGCGCGAGTATCAGTCATCTCAAAGCCTGGAATTGCAATAAGCTGCATACATAGGCCTTTGTGCAACACTTCGCCATGTGAGCACCCGTGCTGCACCAAAGAATGCGTCACTACCGCGCGGCCAAGAGGAGGACTCGCGCTATTGACCTCTATTTGTCTGTGGTCGCTATGGCCCCACTCTATCGGTTGAAGGCTCTTTCAGCAATAGCTTTGTACTTCATTAACATTTGCATAGGGGGATGCTCTACGTGAGGGTTGAGAGGAGGGGGGCGGGGGGCGGTTAAGCGTGGAATAGGTTACTAAGACATGTCTGTTATGGAGAATACTATTCATTGTTGCAACATTATGCTTCTTATATTCATAGATCATGAGCTTAATAGGACAAATTTGTTACAACCAGCTAGTTGTAGTGAGGTATGTTAGCAGAAGTTGAGGCTGCGAGATCTAAGGAACAGTCGCGTAACCGTGGATTTCCTTTTGTATGTTGAAGTTAAGTATTCGGTGATCAGTCGTAATGTTGTCAAGGTTCTTATTGAAGATAGCTGAAACTGCTCATGAGACTGAACACTTAGTTGATACGATAGAGAATCAACTGGTCCTGAGGCTTTGTCTTGTGTCAATGTCGTTTCTCCATGGAATTTGCCATTTAATGTCGTTGACAAGTATCGGGATTCGAGTTGAGGATCTTCCGCTCACACACTTGGAATATTCGAGTGCACGTACTATGAAAACCCGCACGGGTCGTTTCGATAGGAGACAATAACCACATGAAATCACAATCTTCTATCAGAAGTGTCTCCATTGGGAGTGTTGACAGTTCCCGTTTGCGTGATCGCACGGGTCAAATCAACCAGGCACGGTGCTTCACTTAACCACCGTCGGTCGTTTTCGCCCAGAGCTGTTGGAATTTAGCATTGGCTAGGTTTGAGACTGTATGATGCCACGGACGCAGGATAAGAGCAGTAGAGAAATGAATGCTTACACGAGTGCACCAACGACGTCGATGACAAATATCAATTGACGAGTTCCTAGCATTAAAAGCCATGACATCATTCCACACTTCTGGCCCTCAAATATGATAACATATCACTGACGGCAGTGGTTTCTCGTCTCAATCACACGATTGTATTTGAATCACGCTTATCGTAAGACACCTCAGCAGAACCTCAGCCAGTGAAACACATGGCATTAGTAGAATATTAACATCAACTCGAAAATACTATAGAACGACTTACCTATTTGAAGTACGGCGCAAGCTCCTGGTCTCTTTAAAAATCTAGTGTTACGGCTACTTCATCCTAAGGGATACCAACGGTGCAATTAGGACATGATATACAGACAGCAGGCTTATGATTATGAAAAGAGTTCATAGGAATTTAATCAAATAACATCAAAGCTGCGATTACATGTTGTCCCCATCCCTTGAAACCCATGTCACCCAATGCCATTACCGTCGTTAAGAAATCACGGCTTATTACTAGAGTGTTATACAAAAAGGGCCACCGGGTTAGCTCGCAGCGCTGAACGTCTCGCCACCCGTCTCAAGATACTTCTTCTCCTGTGCAGTAGACTCCCTGCCCATGGCCATGTTTCTATGCGGGTATCGTCCAAACTGCACGATGATGTCGCGATGCTTCGTCTCAAAATCACAATTCGTCTCTAGCAGGTCTCTAGCGGCTTCTTTCTGCACCGCCAACACGCCCCAGCACTTGCGCTGATCGTCGCTACCGGCCTCTCCGTCTTCAGCCATCAGCTCCTCAAAATCGTCCTTCATCTGCTGGTACTGCGCCACAGCAAAGTCGTGCAGCGCCAGGTCCTCGGAGTGCATGAAGGGCAGGTAGAACCACATACGGTAGGCCACGCGGTACTTGATCCTGTTGTGAGTCGCGGCGCCGGCGTTGATGGCGTGACGTGCGATTTCTCGCGCAATAGGGTCAAAGAACTTAAAGACTGTCGATGACTCTGGACCCCGGTAGATGTTTCGCGGGACTTGGTCTAGGAGCAGGACCAGACCGAGCCACTGCAAAGGTGTGAATGGCCTCACAATTGTGAGAATGTCTCGAGTTGTGATCTTGGCTGACTTCATGGCCTCCAAAACGGGGCGGAATTTCTTCCTGTAGGTGCACATTAGCAGAATGATCTTTGATGCGATCTAAAGAACAACATACACGCAAGCCTCATCAAAGTCGACGTCGGAGTAGAACCATCGGCCCATCTGGCTCCTCTGAGGTAAGATATAGGCCTCATCGGTCTTGAGATGCTTGAACCAGAACCGGCGGAGCTTCTCAAGCAGATCAGGCGTGAGGGTTTCCTTGAGCCGCGCCTTTGCGTGCGTCTTGCACGAGTTGGACCGCGGCAATCCCCCAATGGACAACATCGGCATCATTTTGTCGTCAGATTCGCGATGACAGCTAGAAGAATGGAAACCTCGTCTGCTCGGAGCCGTCGTCGTTGTCGACGGGTCTCGCTGATGGCATGTCAAGGGAAGGCAAGCACCACGACTCCTCACCGCCTGCGACGTTGAGTTGTGCCACTTCTGCTGCTCCCACGGCTTCACCCGCAAGAGACGGCGGTCGACACACCCCGCATTTCGAAGGGTGCGACTTATGATCTGATGAGGAGGCATGACAGCCACCTCTCACTTACAGGACGACAAAGGGTGGCCAATGGGCGGAGGGTGGTGCCACCAGAGCTCGCACTGACGTCGTCTCGTCTGCTGTCTTTGCTGCCCTTTCGTTTCTGGGGGAGGTCTGGTCAGAAAGGGGGAAAGTCTGGACGCGTCGAAATGCGGGGTTTGTGCAGGCCGAGCGCCCCGTTGTGCAAGTCAGGGTCCCTCGCTTGCCATCCGCTAATGCAAAGAAGAGCGAGCTGGGCGTGCTGGCGCTGGCGTGCTGCTTTGCTTATGTTAGCGGCTGGATGGTGGCACAGGATCGATTGGGTGGGGATGTGGCTTGGGGGCAGCACTTGATCCCACCAAGCATCCAACTACGTGGAAATCGGCATTGTGGCAGAGAGGATCCAAGGCGTTGGACAAACTCGGAGGCTTGGTCGAGAACGGCCATACGTTGGAATGTGGCGTAGATCAGGGATCGGCAGAGGCCAGACAAACCCGGTTCATCATGGCGTAGGGTTCGGTTCGCTCTGGACTCTGGAGAGATGAGTGTGGTTAATCCGGAAGCTTTATGGCGAGGGACAGCTCAGAGTTAGAACTGACGTCAGTTGAGACCGCGCGCCTAGGAAAATGTAAGAGAGAACGAAAGATACTCACGCTGCGGCGTCTAACTCAAACGTACAGATCCGGCGGCAAAAGCAGTGTAACATAGGTATCTCATTAAAGTACCGGCATGACTCCCGTGGTTACTTGGCGGGCTAGAATGAATGTGGCCCGGAATCGAGTTTCGAGATTATTACTAGGTTGAACAAAAGCTTGGGTCCGGCTGCACAAGAAAACATGGTACTATCATAAGAGACCTTATAAGCCGGCCAACTAAACCTCGGCGTTCATGCTTTTCCCCACACTGGCACCATGGAAGCTAATTGTTCGCGAGATTCAAAAAAGGCAGTGAATCTGGTACGCTAAGATTCGCAGCCTCCGTTCCTCTGCTCCGGAGACCACTAGATGACTTCAGCCGACGGCTAAAGAGATCTATTCCCACCTCGAGGTCAGCAGTCACGCAGCATGCCCCCCAAGTGCCGCTGAATCGTTCACGGGCCGCTGCTAGTGCCACCATCCCGAACCTTAACAGCTTGTTTTAAAGATGATGCTCGAGATCCCGTCCAACTTTAAGATGGCTTCTGGGATCATCTCAGCTGTCATTTGTTCTGGATAAATGCTATCCTGGAGACCGGCATGGCCGGCTAAACAAGCGATCATGTGTAATAGGGGGACGGACGAGCTGCCTCTTTGCCTCTAAGACTCTTTTCCCGAGAAAATAAAAGAGGAACCGCTTTCTCGGCCGCAGTGCCGGAGCATGCCCCTTGCGTAAATTGCGGAGAGCGTAGCAAGGATCATGCAACATCGGCCCCGGCTTGGTTCATTTACTCCCGACGATGCGGCCACTCAATCCGACTCCTGACCTAAACTCGACACGTCCATTGGCGGAACCCCACAGTTCCTCATCGGTCCATCACGGCCGGCCACTCGTCGACCGTTTGGGAAAGATTTCCCAGGGGTTGGTGATGAGCCAGTGAACCACACATGGGCTCTTGTCACCCCAAAACCGACAAGCTCGTAAACTTCGCGCAACTCTGCTAAGAGAGCAACTTCTTGAAGTTCCCACCCGGTCCCAAGAATGCTACCCACGTGGGTCGACGTTAGTTTATTCTGGGCAAGGCGGTCCCATCGAGAACACAACCCCCAGTTCCCATGCAACCGATGCCCAAATACCCATAGGAAACGGCACTTGAATCTCCGTTTTCCCCTGTCATCCCATCATCGGTGGCTGCTCTAGGCCCAGAGAAACGATCGAGAAAGAATTAGATTGAAAAGGACGGGGTTCGTCCTCGCCCATCCCACGATGCTCTCCTTTCCTCCTCTCTCAGCCTCACCAGCCTCTCTGTTCATACTCCGACCGCTACATTCGTTCTCTTGACCTTTTTTGTACATATTAAAAACCAACCTGTCAATATGGTTTCATTCACTTCTCTCTTCACGGCCTCTTTGGCCGTCGTCGGCGCCCTCGCCGCCCCCGCCACCGACAAGCCCATGACCACCGACCTCATCAAGCGCGCTTCGACCCCCTCCTCCCAGGGAACCAGCAACGGTTACTTCTACAGCTTCTGGACCGATGGCGCCTCCCCCGTCACATACACCAACGGCGCCGCTGGCGCTTACAGCATCCAGTGGCAGTCTGGCGGCAACTTTGTCGGTGGAAAGGGCTGGAAGACTGGTGGTGCCAAGAGCATCAAGTACTCTGGCACTTGGTCCCCCGTCAACAACGGCAACAGCTACCTGACCGTCTACGGATGGACCAGAAACCCTGTAAGTGACCTGCTACTACATGAGTGCACATTAGCAGACTCGCTGACCCAAACCTTCACAGCTCATCGAGTACTACATCGTCGAGAACCACGGCGAGTACAACCCCGGTAGCGCTGGTACCCTCAAGGGCCAGGTCACCTCCGACGGTTCCGTCTACAAGCTGTACGAGAGCACCCGTACCAACGCCCCGTCCATCGACGGTACCCAGACCTTCAAGCAGTTCTGGGCCATTCGCGAGAGCAAGCGCGTTGGCGGCACCGTCACCACCCAGAACTTCTTCACCGCCTGGAAGAACGCTGGCATGACCCTCGGTACCTCCTTTGACTACATGATCGTCGCCACCGAGGGCTACCAGTCCGCCGGCTCGGCCAGCATCAAGGTCGAGACCGCTGCTTAAATGCAGAAACACTTTTGAGCCAACATGGGCTTTGGATGTGGGCGACATTGAGGATGCGAAAGGGCCTAGGGATGATCAAAGCGTGTATTGTCGCGCACGTGGGAATTTCAGGGGTTGTCGGACGCACATCGATCACGATGGAAATTAAGATGGCCTGCAGGCGGAGGGCGGGTCTTGCGGCTGCTTAAAAAGGCAGAATTTCTTCAACTTGATCCTTTTGAGATCCAAGTGCTGTCTGCAAAATGAACAACCTACTTCCCATCAATAGGCGATCAAGCTGTGCCAATCCTCAAGTTCTACAAGATACGACGAGGAATCTAGGCGATTGAAAATTTGGATTCGGGGAATCGACCTGGCCTCCCTTTCGGTCCTCCTGTCCGAGCACTATAGAAAACAAATATATTGAATCCACACAAAGAGCCTAATTCTGTCGAACACGACATGCACCCCGGGCGAGTCGCCAAATTCGGCCGATGGGAGCTGGGTGCACCAGAACTTATTTCAGGTCCACCGTATGGGCAGACGATCATATTTAGATGCCGGATGACTTGTGCATCAACAAGCTCGGACTGCACTTGACCAAGTGACCCTCGAGCTGAATGCCATGACACCAAGTCTGCGTGTCATCAGGCTGTCAGTTGCCGCCGATAGATGTCAACCCACTAATACCGATCGCGACGCAATTGCGAGTGGTCTTGCGGCATATGCTGAACATCCATTATCAATTTCAAGATACAATTGAGCCCACCCACTGAATCGCTCTTCGGTCTTCGCAGGTACGTTGTGAGACTTCAAATTGAAAGAGAGGAAAGTTGCGGCCGGACTTTTTGGAACATGCAGAACATCATGGTCCATTGAGCAAGAGCTTTATATAGGCAGCTTTTCTGTTCATTAGCCAGGATGCTTCAGTCCTTGACGCACTTACCAGTTGGGTACTCCCCGTCTAATTGAGCATTTATGGCTGTCAGGTAGAACAGGCAATTGTCGAGAATCGCACCGGGCATGACGGTAGCTAAGTATGGAAGACGTTGGATATCATTTATTGTAGATATCGGCATCCCACAGCTCTCGGTCTCATTGACTTGAGGACCTCCCCGATCTCGGACTAAGGCCTGACTTCCTTGTGTCAACAGTTGTGGTCTTCGTCGGCGATACGCCACCATCACACGATCTAATCATCTAAATGAGTGCTTTCCGGTTCCGAGCTGTGCGTTCTCTTATCTCTTGTGGGGGTTCGTTGACGTGTTTTGTTTCGCCGGAATCGTTCCGATGGTTACCTACCCGTAGGTTTATCTTATCTCAACGTAAATTGACACCGATCCTCGACACACGGGGGCTACGGAAAGGTTAATGTTGGTCGCCAAGCTTAGGCACCCAAGGAAGGCAAGTGATAGCAGTGGATCATACATGGAGCCTTTCGGGGTTGCACTAGAGATAGTAGCTCAGATCACCATGGCGTGTTTGGAAGATTGAAGCAAGGCTTCTTCGAGATACAGATTCGGCAGATGAGTTGGATGGTAGAGACATGTGACGGACTATCTATGGCATCATTAACATAATCCAGCGCATCACACATGAAATTTCCCTCCATGTGGTATAATTAACATTTTGTGAATTGCAAGCCATGAGGATAGTAATTCCGGCGTTGCCAGTAAGCCCATCGAGTGAAAATCTCAATGCTGCATCTAGATCCTCGTATTACAGCAGTCTGATCCAAATCTGCATTGCTTTTGATGTCTTTTGTAGTAATTAAATTCCGCGTCCACGAATTTCAGTTTTAGGAAACATACGAAAAACGTAAAAGGCTTAAAGAGGTACAGATACTTTCATCAGAAGTAGCCAGTACTACACCAAGCAATTCCAGAATATTCAGAATGATCAACGATGAGATGTGCTAGTCAAAACACTCGGTTCAGCTAACACTCGCGAGGTCTAATAATGAGGTAATCTTGAGATGAAATTGTAACTAATGATTCTGATATCATGGGTCTCATGCTCTATCTAAAAA